TGCATGGCAGGGGGTTGGACTGGATGGCCCTTGTTGTTTCTTCCAACTATGATTCTATGAAATGTGGAGGACCAATTTTAATATTTAAAAGTATATATAAATGGGCAACAGGGGAGGGGAAAGGGTTAGTGGTGGATGCATGCTTTGCCTAAGACCTTGTCAAAGGTCATCCAGTGGGTTTCCATGGCCAGCTGGGGATTTGAACTCTGCTCTCCAGAGTCATAGTCCAACACTCAAACCACTACACTATACTGGAAGATTTGGAGGGGTTTAGGGTCCCCAAGTCAGGGCCTGAAGGGCCACACGGGGCCCACAGGCTGCCTTTCCTTACCCCTGCACTGAGCTCTGCCCATCCTGGCAAAGATGCCAAACACGTGCAATGCCACTCAGCTCTCTCCTCCTCTCTCTGCTCTTCGTTCTGTTTCCTGCTTCTGCTTCACTAGGTGCCAGGATTGTCGCTTTGTTGTTTTTTGGGCACAGCAGAGGCTAATCTTTTATTTTGATTGTTGCTTAGATATCTCAGCAGGCTTCTCCCTTTCCCAGTCCTAAAATCTGCCACCCCGTTTGCAAGCATGGGAGAAGATAGCTTACATTTTTATGGCAAACAGGCAGAGATGATATTTGCGATCCAGATTTCGAATTGCATGGAGGAGACTCACGGAAACGGAAGGGGCTTCAAAAGAATCCCACTGATTTCAGCAGGCCTTCTCGAAGCAGAGATTTATTTTATTTTATTTTATTTTTTGCTAGCCCCAGTAGGGATATGTACTTATAAATCTGGGAAGGGCACCCTCACCTTTCTAATATACTGCACCACTGCTACAGTTTTTGGAAAGGTGCTCATCCTCTTTCAGGGCGCTACCACTTTAGGATCCGGGTGTGAGGTTTTGCACCACTTGCTTTACACAACCCATGCCAGCGAAACAAGAAACGGCAATATTCTGCATGAAATATCACTTTATTTGTAAAAATGTGCAAAGCATTTGTACAACTATAAAAGCCTGAGATACAAATCTGCAAAATCATTTGCAAAATGTTACTGAGAGAGGTGTGGACCAGCAAGTAGCTTTGAGAGTATTGAAGAGCATTAGGGAGGCCTTCCAGAGGTTTTTAGACTACAAGTCCCAGCATCATCAAGGCTGAGGAATGCTGGGAGCTGCAATCTATCAACTTTGGGAGGGCCGCATGCTTATACCCACTGTGGGGAAAAAGACACCATCCAATATTTTGCATATGAAAACAAGGAGATGTGTAGCCAAGCAACATCATAGTGGAGTCAAAATGGCAAAAGTTATGAATGGGGAAGAACACACAAGCTAGGAGAGACTCCAGCTGTTTGCTTATTCCTGCTATTGCTATCTCCTGCTATCTTTGCTATCGGAAAGGACAGGAGACCAGTATGGTGTAGTGGTTTGAGTGTTGGACTAGGACACTGGAGACCAGGGTTTGAATCCTGGCTCAGCCATGTAAACCCGCTGGGTAACCTTGAGCAAGTCACATACTCTCTGCTTGCCACGAAAACCCATGATAGGGTCTTGTCTTAAGGTCACCATAAATCAGAAATGACTTGAAGGCACACAATAACGACAACAATTGAGAAGTACAAAATTTTTCACGCTATCCTGTCCTGTCCTCCTTACTGAGGACTGAATATGACTTCTCCTCTTTGAACTCCATTTGCAGCAATGGAAGCAAGCTGAGGAGAAAGGGAGAAAGCGGGAGAAGGCGCAAGAAACTGGGACATTTTAAAAGCAGCTGAAAAGTCGGAAGGCAGAAGATTAATCAGGAAGGTATGGGAATAACAGTTGCAGGCTTGCCTTAGTGGGTGACAACACAGATTGCAACCAGAACTTCTGGGAGCATTTGCAAAAGCCAGTTGCAGAGGGAAATGTGGCGGCACTCTTAAGTGTCTTTCTCCATCTCGCTCTCTGCAATCTGTCTTATTATTGTGAGCTTTGTCTGTTTTTCCCTTTTCTCTTTCTAAGTGACCCTGTGCAGTGCAAAAGCAAACATGCATTAAACATGATTTTCTCTCTGGACTTCTGGCTGGG